CCCCCCCCTCGGCTCTCTGCTGCCCCCCTCCCGGTGCCGTGTGGGCACCTCCTTGACACGTGTTTTAAGCTCCACCGCGCACACAGAGTGTGGGTCCACCGATAGCGTAATGCTGATCTGGCCCCAGTCGAGCGACGGGCTCCTGGCCGTGCAGCTGTCTTGGTGGGGGTAGGCCGACCGCTGCATCTGACCCACCACACCTGACACGGCTGCAAGGCCTTGGAGGTAGACGCGCCGGACGGCTGGGGTGGGGCCGGTGTTGGCTGCGGCGATGACCATCTTGTCCTTCTGCACACACACACGCAAAGGGACAGAGACACACATCTATGTGGGGTTTGTGGTGGTGGTGGTGGGGATTACCGTCTGTGAGAGGAGTGCGACGATGCTGAGGCCGTCGTGTATGTCTGCAGCTGGCCTGCTGAACAAGGCCCCCCCAGTGTGGTGCATGCTGGTGTGGTGAATTCTCCGTTCGGTATGGGTGTCATTGGTGGTGGCCGTGGTCGCGGTGTGTTTCCTCAGGTGGTGAATTCTCCGTCTGGCCATGGTCGGAGGGCTGACGTGCTCGAGAGAGAGGGCCATGGCAAACGGGGGAACACGGCCCAACACGCTGCGCACATCCAGAGACACCCACACGCACCCCAACCTGTTTTGTGGCACAGAGGGGGCGGGCTCTTTCCCTGTCTCTGCCTCACTTGTGCAGGGCCTGGTAAGGGATGGAATGGTTGCCGGCGCGGTCGATGAGGCCCCAGCACGACAAGAAGGCCGGCGAGTCGTTGAGCGTCCAGTACAGACCCGCCGACGCACCTGCAGACACACAGGGAGACAGACAGGCATCGGTTTGTCTTCTTCTGCTTTGCTGTCTGCCTGTCTGCCTCATTGGTCGACCGTAGTTGACGAATGTGAGTAGGTATGCCGTGAGCATGACGCCGTAATATCTGCTTGAGGACGTCACACTCGCGTGCTCTGTTGGGCTGCATGCAGCGAGACATGGTTGATGCATCAGGAGAAAGGCTTTCCTGTGTGGGTGTGGGTGTGGGTGTGGGTGTGGGTGTCACCTGTGTGGTGTAGTGTAGCAGTCTGCGGGCGTGTGCTGGAACTTCCTGCCGCCGAGGTAGGTGGTGCCCACACCAAACTCGCTAACATACAGGGGCAAGGGGTGACGACTGACCACACACACATCCGGCAACCCATGTGCACCACCCCCTGTCCCTCTCTCTCTGGGTGTCTGTGTGTGTGTACTCGCCTCTCTCTTTCCCTCACCGTTTCTCCTTCTCCTTCTCCTTGTCGGTGTGTTCCTCTTTTGTCCCATGCGCGTGGGCATACAAACGTGCAGCCGCGAAGGGTTGGTGTGCAGATGTCTTGAGAGGCACCTTCAGAGCCATCAGGTGCTGGTGGAAGGCCGCCAGCTGCTGACGCAGAAACACGCTGCTGTCGAAAGTCGTCACCCAGTCGTGGGACACAGATGTCGTTGATGCGCCGTGACTGCCATTGTGTCCTCTTCTGAGCAGCAGCCGCCTGCCCTTTTCCGTCGCCCATCGCCAGAGACCCTCCAGCCCGGACCCATTGCTGCCGTGTCTGCTGCTGCCGATGCTGGCCGGGTGTTTGTCGCTGCTGTCTGTGTGTGCGTTGGTGTGTGCCTGGAGGCGAGCCAGGGTGTAGGGGGCGGCCAGGACGTCATCCCATGCCTGCACCGACCTGTCAGCAGACGAGGGCATTGTCTTATGCTCAGTGTGTTGTTGTGTTCGTCTCCGTACCAGCCTGCCAGGGTGTTATATGCGGACTCGTCAGCCTGCAGGGCCGCGAAATACGGCGCAGAGTGGTTCAAGAGGCTGGTGCCAGGACCTTACCACATCACAGCCGCACACACAGGTAGAAAGAGAGAGAGACATGGGCGTCTCCACATACCATATAGTTTGACCCGGTCGAGCCGTCTGTCGTAGAGCTGCAGTGCGATGTGTTTGAGCAAGAGTGCCAGGGAGGCGGGCGGGATGTGCAGCGACCACAGGTCGGGCTTGTACGCCACCTCCACGCTCTCTATCGGGAAACCTGTGGACACAGAGAGAGGGTGCTCCCGTGTTTGTGTGGGTGTTATGTGTGTTGTGACCTCTGTCTCTCAGATACTTGAGCAGCGACACATACAGCTTCGACAAATCAGGAATCGCCTGCAAAAAGGATCACAGAACCCCCGATGTGCGTGGCAGACACATGGCTCCTCTCTTTCTACAGGGACATACATCTCTTTTGAGGCACTTGAGCAGCGCATTTCTCCTCCCCTGCTCATCGGGCACCGGCCCTCCTCCCAGCCAGGGGTACCACGACGGCCGCATCCTGTCCGCCTGTGCACGCACCTCGTCGCTCCGGCCCTCACCGGAAGACAGCGCAACCGACGCACCGGGGCGTGGCTGAAATGAGAAGGCCGAGTGCTGGAAGAGGCTCGTGTCTAGGAACTGCCACTTCGCTGTGCCACTGGCAACACACAGACAGGTATGGGGGCAGAGGGGGGAGGGGAGTTGGGGGAGAGGGAGGGAGAGGGGTGGTTTACTTGTGCAGGTAAGGGTCCACCCCGCACTGGGGCGGCAGTGGGTCGCCGAGGGTGAAGCCCGCCGCCAGGTGGATGTAGTTGCGCGGGATGGCGTTGATCAGCACGCCGAGCACTTGACGCTTGTATAGGGGAGGTGGGGGTGACGAGACTGGCAGATCGTCCTGTGTGCTGTTGCTGCTGCTGCTGCTGCTGCTGCCGGTGATAGAGGTCAGGTTGGTGAGATGGGTCTCATTTCTGGCTTTGCCGTGGGTGGGCTTCTCGGACGACGACAGGGGGCGCCTACCGTGAGAAAGAGACAGGGAAGTGGCCCATGGATGGGTGCGTGTGTGACCATCTTCCTCACTCTTTGATGAATGCGCGGCCAACAGCCAAGAGAGCATCGAGCTCGGGGCTCTGAATGATGGGCGGACAACAAAGGACACGGTGATTTGTGGGCCTGACGGGTGCTGCTGCCTTATCCGTCACAAGCCACCTACCTCTCGATACAACCTGGCGACGAAGGCATCCATCTCGGCATCTATACGACCACACCACACAAATGCAATGGGATGAATGGCCCGGTTGCGTGCATGTGTACCCGATGCATCGACAGGCGCCTCAGAGACCCTCTCAAGCGCCGACGGCGATACGCGCACCCGAATCATGTCCATGTGCAATGCCTCAACAGTCGAATTCACCGACAGCATATGAATGGCCTCCCCATCCCTCTCCTCCGCCCCTTTCTCCCCGCCAAAGGCGCCCCAAAACGACCTGTGCGCGGGCCTGTGGTGGGTGTTGACGTCCTTGAGCGTGTTGAGGTCGATGAGCATCCCTCCCAAAGACACATTCTGCCGTGTTTGCGTCGCGTCCACCACAATCGTGTGCAGCTCAGCCCCCTTGCCGCGGCGGTACCGCACAGCGGACACATAGAGGCTATACAGCTGGATGAGCACCACCGTCACGACGAACACTGTGCCCAGCACAAGGACCGTGCTCTTCTCCCCTGCACAGCCGCCTGCCAGCTGGGAGCAGGGGAATCCGACACTATCACGCGACCTCGTGTGGCGGGTCTTGGCGCGCCCGTGGAGGCTGCTGTGTGAGCTCTTGGCCGACCGGCTCCTGGACACTGGCCGTGGCGGCGCCTCTGGATCAGCCGCAGTGACGCGGAGCTCGGGAGAGGGAAGACGAGCAGCGCTGGGGCGGCCCGTTGCAGCGGGGTGTGGGCTGGCCATGGATGTGTCAGGGGAGAGAGAGGGCGGGAGGGTGGGAGCCGTGGGCTGCTGGGGCTGGGCGGGCTGATTCAATGGAGAGTACCTATGGGCGGGGCGGGTCAACAGATGATACATTTCATCGTGAATTGGGCACGGTCTTCTTGATTACGTACCAGTATCTTCTCATGTGCATCGTGTCGTTCATGGTGTCTTGATAAAGTGCTTGTTCCCGGGAGCTTCGCTGGGATTGGTAAACTCATGCGACCTGGGGGCGGCCCCCAGGTCTCTGCCGTCTTACATTTTGTCCGACTTTCCCAGCCTTCATCCCCCTTATCCCACAAGCCATCCCTATTCCACCCCTGCCGTCCCTTGGGCGAGACCTTTATGCTTCCTGCGTGAACCCATCCCATTGCAGAGGGGCCATGGTGATTGTCCTGCTCTCACTGGCAACTCATGCCGCCGCCTCTCTCTTTCGCACGCCGCCAGACAATCCTTCCCATGCGGGCTCTTTTCTGACACGAAGGCGCTTTGCAGCGCCCCCCTCTCCCCTCAATCTTCGCCACCCGTCCCTACCACTTGCCCTGCCGGTCAACGCAACGATGCCACAACACCACCACCATGCTGCAAGACGTCAGCATCACAAGAGGACCAGCAAAGTGGCTCCCGCTGCACCTCCCGCCGCCCTTGTCGAGCACGCGGCTCGTCGGCACAGACATGTTGCACACAAGCATGGTCACAGTCATCTGAAGGGGCGTTCGATGGATCGTCCCTCCGCTGGACACAGCAGATTCGCCCGTATGCAATCGGATGAATGGATGCTGCTGCGCCTGTTCTGCTGGCACATGCATCTGTGTATGAATGGATGGCTGTCCAGAGCTGCACGGGCACAGAGATGGCGATGGACCGGGAGCTGATCAGCATGCCGGGGAGAGCGGCCAGTCACAACAGGGAGACAGTGGAATCCGATACTCGATGGACGAAGACATGAATACACAGAACGAGTCTCAGGGAGAAGGTAGTATGAGCTCTGCAGCTCATGCATCACGTCTGTGGCTCCCTCTGTCTGCAGCTCCCGAGTACACCATGCCCCACGACGCCGCCGGCAAAGCCTCCTCCCAAGCTGAAGGGCCTTTGTCAGGTGCACACAGCAAAGAAGAAAGCGTCACGCTCGGTGGGTGCGTCATACACTATGAATGTGTTTCTGTCAGCCGAAGAGGAGTCCGTTCGCTCAGACGAGTCCGAGGTCAAAAAACCGCTGGAAGAGATATTCAAGCTTGGTGGGAAGGGCAGAAATCAGCCAGCTGACGCAACACCATAGCTTGTACGTGTACCGGCAGACCCCGGACACGCCCTAATCGCCAACCTTGGGTTGGTCCGTGGCAAGGGCGACAAAAAGCTGGAAGACGTCTCAGGACCTGGCCTGGGCGGGAAGACAGAAGCCGATTTGAAGAACACGACGGGGCATCGGCCATCTTGGGAGATAGAGGCCGAACTGCAGAAGACGACGGGCCATCTGCCAGGTGGGCGGGATACAATCAGCCAGGAAGGCAGCAGTATGAACACTGAGAGACACGCACACACATGCAGAGCACACCTCATGCGTGTCTGCCTGCGTGTCTCACCGCGGGCAGAGAGTACTTCAGGGAGGGAAATACCTGAAGAGGGCATCCCTTCAGAGCAAGAAATATCTGGGGAAGACATCGGGAACACGGAAGAGAACGCACGTACGACAGACATTCACACACGTGACACGCTTGCCTATATGCGCACCGCACTGCTCTCTTGTGCCACGAACATTTATTGTCTTCCCTTCACGTCTCCGTCCCCTGCAGGCGGCAACCTGGAGGAAGGAGAACGGATTCCTATCGACAAGAGGGGGGGCGGAGGAGAAAAGGATGTAGAAGGAACACAGGGTCATGCGCCAGCACATGGCTTCCAGTCCGACAGAGAGAGCGCACCAGAAGACGTCTCAGAACATGGCCTTACCCTGTCGGAGAGCGAGGGAGAAAAAGTGCTGGAATCAGAAGAAGAGGCGGTGGCTAGAGAAAACGTACTAACGAGAACAGAGGGCCATAAGCCTGCACCGCTCGCCACCGTGACATCGGGAGAAGAGACGGAGGCGGGAGAGACAGAAAAAGAGCTGCAAGAGACAAGAGGGCATGGCGTCCCCTCCGAGAAAGAACAAGTCACAGGACTTGGGCCATCCAAGAAGCCAGAAGCCGATTTGAACAAGACGACGGGGCATCGGCCATCTTGGGAGACAGAGGCCGCGCTGCAGAAGACGACGGGCCATCTGCCAAGTGGGCAAGACTTAATCAGCCAGGAAGGCAGCAGCATGAATGCTGAAACACACACACACACACGCATTCAAAGAACAATCATCCGCGTCTGCGTGTCCCAGCACATGGAGACAGTACTTCAGAGGGCGAAGTACCTGGGGTTAATATCCCGTCAGAGAGCCAAACGTCTGGGGAGGACACCGCGAGCACTGCAGAAGAAGAAACACGTACGACAGATATCCACACATGTCCACTTATACACACACCACACTGTCTCTCTTGTGCCACGAACCTTTATTGTCTTGCCTTCACGTCTCTGCCGCTCGCAGGCGGCAAACTCGAAGGAGGAGAATGGATTCCTATCCATAAGGGGGAAGAAGAAGAAAAAGATGTAGAGCCAACAGAGGGCCATGGACCAGCACATGGCCTCCCGTCCGGGGGAGAGAGCTCTCTCGAGGACGGTCCAGAAGATGACTTAACCCTATCCGGGAGCGGAAGAGAAACAGAGCTGGAATCAGGAGAAGAGGCAGCGGGAGGAGAAAACATACTAACGAGAACAGAGGGCCATGAGCCTGCACCGCTCGCCAACGGGGCGTCGGAAGATGAGACGGAGGCGGAAGAAAGAGAAAAACCACTGGAAAGAACAGAGGGTCGTCGACCACCAAAATTTCCCCGTCCTGCAGGAGCAGGTACGACAAACGACAGTGCACTCTTCTTCCTGCATGTCTTGCCTTCCATCTGCGCAGCGAAGAAGATGGGCGAGGAAGCTGTCAGCGGGGAATCTGCAGTTGAATCGGTTGACAAAGAAAGCGTCCAGGAACGCCCAGAAACGGAGAGTGAGACACAACGAAAAGAGAGCCTCAGCGGTGACACTTTCAGCGAGCACAGTGTACCATTCATTACTGGTCATGTCGTGTCTTGTCTTGTCTTGTGTCCACATCTGTCCAGACCGTGGGAAGACAAGCGAAGAGGTCACCGGTGAAACCGGATCAGTCATGGAAGAACTACGTGACCAGAATATCACAACACTCAGTGACGTGCACAGGCCAACTCTGCAGACACAGACAGACTGGTGTGTGTCTCCATGGCTGCGTGGACGAATGATACACAGGCGCTTACCAGCCCGAGCCCGGCGTGACGAGCGCTGAAGAGACAAGGAAAGCTGAATGGAAAGATGAGGAGTACATACCACGATCCAGGAAAGGTGAGAGAGTGAACAGCAGATGAATGGATGAATGAAGTGACCGCCTTTTCTGTCTGTCTCTCTGTGGCGTCTCTGGAACAGATCAAGGCGATCAAGGCGTCTCTGGAACAGAACGAGGCACATTGGAAACAGGTGAGCAGCCTGCTGTGGTGGGCAGCTCAACCACGGAAGAAGTTAGCGGGGGAGAAACCGGACGAGAAGAACACCCGCCGAAGAAAAAGGAGGTCAAGCCCGGGCCAGCACCTTTTCTGTATGTCTCTCTGTGTGACAGAAGAGCCAGGAAAAGCCGAAGAACCAAGCTTATCTTCGGAGGGGGGTACCGTGCAACAGACAACAACACACGCCCTCATGCAGGGTCCCATTTTGTTCCCGTCTTTTCTACGTGCGTGCCTGTGTGTCCCATCAGCAGTCAAGCCGGAAGCAGAGACAAAAAAACTCGAAGAATCGCAGGCGGAAGTGAGCGAGGGGGAACCGGCAGAAGAAAAAATAACCCAAGAAGGAAATGAACCGATCGAAGAAGAGGTGACAGAAGGAATGAGCGAGCATGAAGTAGCTCAAGTAACAACGGGAGAAGGAGGAGGAGAAGAACAAGAAGAAGAAGAAGAAGAAGCAGCGATTGATAAAAATGTGATACGAGCGGTGAACGGGTCCGAAGTAATAGGAGAAGATAGAGAATCGACCCAGGAAGAAGTAGCAGAAAGACAAACGAACGAGCCTGAAGTGGCAACAGAAGAAGAAGACACCGAGGAAGAGGAGGAAGGGATAAGCAGGTCTGAAGTCACACAAAAAGAAGAAGATAAAGGATCGACCGTGGAAGAGGTGGCAGAAGAAAGAAAGACAAAGCCCGAAGAAACAGGAGAAGAATTGAGCCAGGAAGAAAAAGGAGACACGACCGAGCTGGGAGTAGCAGAAGAAGATAGGAAACACGCAGCAAGTAAGACATGCATACGTATGACGACATTGTATGTCTCGTTTTGTCTCCATCCGCGCAGAGGAGTCAGGTACATCAGATGTGGGTCAGACAGCCATTTCAGAGGGTACGCAACGCACAGCGCATTGCCCTGCCTCGCGCCTGCCAGGCCACAGGCATGCTTTGTTTGTCTCAACATCTGTCAGATGTGGATCAGACAGTGACTGAGACTGACGAAAGTACACGCGAGAAACTAGAGGGTAAGCAACGCACAGCGCATTGTCTTGCGCCTGCCAGGCCACAGGCATGGTTTGTTTCTCTCCACACCTGCTCAGATGAGAGGCTCAATGGACAAGTCAGCGACGAGGGGGCTGGACCAGCTATGGAAGAACCAGGTGAGCAGAGTATCACGCCATTCAGTGAATTGCGCATGGCCAACCGTGCAGGCAGACAGGCGTGGTGTGTGTCTCCCTGTGTGTGTCTCCATGGCTGCGTGGACGAATGATACACAGGCGCTCACGAGCCCGAGCCCGGCGTGACAAGAGCTGAAGAGAGAAGGAAAGCTAAATGGGAAGATGAGGAGTACATACCAGGACTCAGCAAAGGTGAGAGAGTGAACAGCAGATGAATGGATGAACGAAGTGACCGGCTTTTTTGTATGTCTCTGGGCCAGGAGAAGGCGAAGTGGCAGCAGAAGAAGAGGAAGAAATGATACAACCAGTGAGCGAGGAAGAAACAGCAGAAGAACACCCGACACACCCACCAAAGAAGGAGGAGGAGGTCAAGGAGAAGGTCAAGCCCATTCCACGACAGAAGCCACATCCTCCAAGTGCGTGACTGAGAGGGCAGACCAGACACAGAAACACACATACACGGTGCACATGAATGAATGCGTGACTGCAGCTGGGGCCCCCGGTGCTGCCGAGGAGAGGAAGCTGCCTGGCTCCCCACCCAACGCCAGGCCCTGCAGCGGCAAGCCGTGGGTCGACGGAATCGGACCACCCGGACCAGCGGTGAGGACAGAGATTAAGAACGGGAGGAAAGGCAAATCGGCACCACTGTCTGTCTGTCTGTCTGTCTGTCTGCGACCCTTCAGCGCTCCTTGAGTGGAATCAGACGGTGAAGGAAGGATTTTTGAGATTAGGGAGCGACTGCAACAGCTAGATCAACCAGACTAGACCTTCCACTGCTTTTTCCCATGCAAACCTGTGTGATGGGCCTTGGTGCGCCCGGGGAGGGTCTTTCTGACACCGCAAGCCCGCTGCATTAGCGCCTCTGGGTCTGGAGATGTGAGAGGGTGCCGGAGTGCAGACGGGCAGCGCTGAGAAGGCCTTTGGTGGGTTTGTCGTGTCTGGGGAGAGGGATGGTGGAAGGATGGGAAGCACTACTTGTACAAGTACTTCGATGGATATACAAACACGCAGCTGAACTCATGAAGGCGGCCGTGTTCCCGCCGGTGCCAGGATCTTACCACATCACATGGCCAATGGATGTGTCAGGGGAGAGAGAGGGCGGGAGGGTGGGAGCTGTGCACATGGGCTGCTGATTCTGGGCGGGCTGATTCAAATGGAGAGTACCTGATGGGCGGGGCGGATCAACAGATGATACATTTCTATGCATCACGTCGTCCATGGTGTCTTGAAAAGTGCTTTCCCCGGAGCTTCGCTGGGATTGGTAAACTCATGCGACCTGGGGGCGGCCCCCAGGTCTCTGCCGTCTTACATTTTGTCTGACTTTCCCCAACCTTCATCCCCCTTATCCCCTTCAAGCCATCCCTATTCCACCCCTGCCGTCCCTTGGACGAGACCTTTATGATTACTGCGTGAACTGTTGCAGAGGGGCCATGGTGATTCTGCCGCCGTCTCTTCTCCTGCTTTCACTGGCGTCACAGGCCGCTGCCTCCCTCCTTAGCACGCCGCCAGCCAACCATTCCCATGCGCCCTCTTTTCTGACGCGAAAGCGCATTGCAACGGCCCCTTCTCATCTGCATCTTCGCCACTTGTCGCACCGTCGCCATCGTGGCAGCTCTCTTATCCTTCCGGTCGACGCGACGTCGCCACACCACCACCACGATATTGTGAGGCGTCAGCATCACAAAAAGACCAGCAAGACGGCCCTCGCTGCACCTCCCGCCGCCCTCGTTGAGCACGCTTCTCGTCGGCACAGAGACGGCGTTGTACACAGACATGGTCACGGTCACCTGAAGGGACGCCCGATGCGTCGTCTTGCCGCAGATACCAGATTCACCGGTGGTCAAAGGAGTGGGAGCTGCCGTGCATGGCCTACGCGCGCATACGTGTGTCTATGTGCTTGGCTTTTCAGAGCTCCACCGAGACAGAGATGGACCTGAACCAGGAGGCGATAGGCCAGGCGAGACGAGCCAGTCGCAACAGGATGGAGATGATGTGTCCTCACTGGCTGGCGTGATACGCGACTCCGTCGAGCAAGATCAACAATCGTCCACAACAGATACTACTACGCCAGGCGAGATACGTATGAACTCTGCAGCTCATGTATCACCTCTGCGGCTCCCTCTGTCTGCAGCCGATACCACAGAGCCTCACGACTCGCTGCGCGACTCTCAGGAGCCAGGTACGTATGAACTCTGGAGCTCATGAATCACCTCTGCGGCTCCCTCTGTCTGCAGCCGATACCACAGAGCCTCACGACTCGCTGCGCGACTCTCAGGAGCCAGGTACGTATGAACTCTGGAGCTCATGAATCACCTCTGCGGCTCCCTCTGTCTGCAGCCGAGCCCAGTGAAGAGGAGAAAATGGGGAGGTACAGTGAAGTAGAATACAAACCACAAGCCGAGGAATTCTCCATCCACGAGCCACCGGAAGAAGATGAAACAAGAGACGCCGCGCCAGCCTCGGAAGATGAAGACAGGAAAGTTCCCGAGGAAACATTGGAAACAGATGAGGGGCATCCTGAGGTGAGCAGCTCAACGGAAGCAGTGAGCGAGGAAGGAACAACAACAAAAGGAGAACAACATCCGCCGAAGGTCAAGCCCATTCACGCGCGAGAGAAGCCACATCCTCCAAGTGCGTCCGTGAGTGACTGAGAGGGCAGACCAGACACAGAAACACACATACACGGTGCACATGAATGAATGCGTGACTGCAGCTGGGGCCCCCGGTGCTGCCGAGGAGAGGAAGCTGCCTGGCCCCCCACCCAACGCCAGGCCCTGCAGCGGCAAGCCGTGGGTCGACGGAATCGGACCACCCGGACCAGCGGTAAGTGTGCGAGGAGACGGATAAAGAAGGACAGACGGATCGGCGTCTTTGCGCGCGTATGTGCGTGCAGCCGCCCCTTAAGTCGAAGGAGACGGTGGCCGAGGAAGTTGCGGCATTGACGAGTGACTGCAACAGCTAGATGGATGAGCCACACCCACCATTCCATTGAGCGATCCATAGATTGACCGATCGAGTACGTCTTTTACCCATACATGTGCGTTCGTGCGTTGAGGGAAGGGAAAGGCAGACAGACTGACTGACTGACAGACCGCCGTGAGATTTGCGCCTTGACTGAAGACACGCGTGAGGTCGACAAAATGACGGATAGGAATGTTGCAGCAACCGCCGCCAGCCTCCTTATCCGCAGCCGTCTTTTCATGAGTGCAATCCCAGAAGAGAATTCGTCAGCTCGCAATTTGGCGAGCTGAAAAACCGCTCTGAGTCAGGCTTTGTGCAGCTTTGTCGATGTCAGCGGCTGTGGAGATGACCGGCAGTGAGGACCGAGTGGACCTCAACGGAGGAAAGGACGACCCGCAGCAGCCGCCGCCCACCGCCAGTAGCGGCAGCAACACAGATCAGCCCGCCGGCAGCAGCAAGAACGACAAGAGTGCGGCCATTCCCCGGGCAGAGACCGTCGAAACCAACGCAGACACACCGACGGGCGCTGATGCACAGCACAACGGACCATCCAAGCAGTCGTCCATGAAGGAGGACGCGCACACAGACACCTCTGCTGCCGCCAAGGACGGCCAGCAGACAGCTCGCGACGAGACCGAAGCCAACGAAGCCGCTCAGCATGACACATCCACACCAGCACCAGCAACTGCCAACGGCACGGTGGTCGACCATACAGCACCGGCATCGGGCGAGGAGCAGGCGAGTCGCCCAAGTGCCGGTGTCAGTGGTGAGAATGCGCCTGTGTCGGTGCCAGTGGCTCAGTCGGTGCCGCCTCCGCCTCCGCCCCCGCCCCCGCCCCCTCCCCCCTCCACCAACGACAGGGTCATTGAGCAGAAGGACGGCGAGATCGGCGCACTCAAACATGAGCTCGACGGCTTGCGCGACGCCATGGCAAGGCAGGCTAACGAGGTCAGTCATCTGCCAACATATACACACACGTGTGGGTGAGGCATCCGTTTCATTGTGTGTCTTTGTGTGTCATCCATCCATCCATCCATCAGCATGCTCGACACATGGAGGATTTGTCGCGGCACCACCGCGAGCAGCAGGAGGCGGCCAACGGCCAGATCGCCCGGATGCGGCAGGAGCTCCTGGCGGCCGAGCAGATGACGCAGAGCACACAGATGAGCGCCCAGCAGACGGCCCAGAACGTGCAGCAGCTGCAGATGGCCAACGCACAGATGCACCAGACACTCGAGAGCATCGTGGTGAGGGCGCCAACAAGGGGTGTGGTGTGAAGAACGAATGGGCTGTTTACTTGTACGTGTGTCTGTCTGTATGTGTTGTGCAGGCCGAGAAGTCGTCACTGGAGATGCGTCTGATGGATTATCAGAAGAGCCTGGACCGCGGGACCGCCGCGCACAACCATGAGAAGCAGCAGCGCCACAACATCGAGCGGGTCTGTGCATGTGATGTGTGGATGGATCTCTGTGGCGTGGGGTCGCATTGGTGAACCCTCCCTCCCCTCTGTGTGTGTTGTGTGTGTGTGTCAGGCCAAGGAATCGCTGCAAAACGAGGTGGAGTCTGCCCGAGCGGAGCTGACGCGGATGAGGCAGTCCATGCAGTCGTACGACGAAAACGACAAACGTATTCAGGTGAGGGGGTGGACACACACGCACGCACGAACGAACGCCCAGCCACACCATGTGTGTGTGTGTGTGTGTGTCAGCAAGAGAATATGGTCCTCAAGCAGCAGCTGGCTGAGCGGCAGCAAGGCACACAAAAGTAGCTCCACACCCACACCCACACCACACATAACCACACACAAGAGACGAAGGCACCGGCAGGGCACTCACTCACACCCCACTGTGTGTGTGTGTAGGTTGGACGCCGACTACGCTCAGCTCAAGGATAGCCACGCCGCTGCGGAACAGACCATAGCGGAGCTACAGGTGTGCACATACCGCCCCACACACACCTCAATTCCATCGGTCCATTCGCGTGTTGTCCGTCTGTCTGTCTGTCTGTGCGCGTCATCAGGAGAAGCTCGCTGCCGAGAGCAGCAGCCGCGAGGAGGCTCAGCGGCAAATGGAGGTAGGTAGACACGTACAAACAAACACAACACAGACACCGACGTTCTTCCCCCCATCGATGTGGATGGATGGATGGATGTGTGTGTGTGTCGGTGAGTGCAGGAGGCCCATTCCCGTGCGGCGAGTGCGTGCAGTCGTATGTCGCAGCAGGAGACTGAGGTGGTGGGCTTGCGCCAGACGCTCCAGAAGATGCAGCAGGACCTGAAGGACGGCAAGAAGAGGGAGGACGCACTGCAGGCAAAGGTCAGACAGTGAGACAGCACCGCTATCACATCGATAGCCACGTGCACAAAGAATGTGTGTGTGTGTGTGTGGTGTGAGTGCAGGCGTCTCACTTCGAGCAGCGGCTCAACACAGAGCGACTAGAGGCACAGCAAATGGCGGTAGGCCACTCCCACACCGCACCACACCGACACACTCGCTCCACCTCCCTCCCTCTCTGTCTGTGTGCATGTGTGTGTGTGTGTGTGTGTAAATAGAGTGAGTACGAGCAGCGCGAGAGTCACTTCAAGTTGCTGGAGCAGGGCTGGAAGGAGGAGTGGGAGCACCACTGCCGCTCCAAGGACCAGCTGCAGGAGAACTACCAACAGGCCATGAAGGAACTCGACGCTCTCAAGTACCCACACACACATGTGCACACTCACACAATGATCCATATGTGTGTGTGTGTGTGTGTGTGTAGGGGTCAGCGTGGTGAGGACAGTGCCAAGATAAAGCAGCTGGAGACCAACAAGAAGAAGACCGAGAAGAAGACGACAGAGGACAAGAAGAGCATCCAGGAGCTGAAGGAGGAGGTCAGCCAGCCAGCCAGCCAGACAGCACACGGCAACGAAGGTAGAGACACACAAGCGCGTGTGTGCGGGTGTGTGTGTCCAGGTCAAGAAGAAGGATAGCGAGCTGACCAAGAAGGACAAAGAGTGAGTGAGATGGGCAATGCACGCACACGTTCACACACGTCTGTCTGCACACACGTGGACACGTGTACTTGTGGATGTGTGTATGTGTTGACGTGTGTCGTGTCAGGGTTGCAGCGCTGAAGGAGCAGCTGAGCGCCAAGAGCCAGGAGCACTCCACTTACAGACAGGCGCAGGAGAGATACCAGTGAGCAACCAATCCACACACGTCTCGCTCTTGTGGTTGGTGGTTTATGTTATGTGCCTCGGTCGACTCGATGGATCTGCTCAGGATGTATGCCGGCGTCAGTGGGTTGGTCGTGATCATCCTGTTCGTCCTCTACTGGATCCTCAGCTTCGTCAGCTCGCCAAGCAGCGCACAGCAGCCGGGCGACGCCGACCTCTAAATGCGTCCACCTCCTGTCATCAAGAGTTGCCTCTGTGTATGTGTGTGTGTATGTGTGTGTGTATCACACACACCCACATGCACACGTGCACCCATCCATCCACCCATCCATCCATCAATCCACTGCCTAGTGCCTTCGCACCCACGTACGTCGATGCATCCATCGATCAGTGTGTGTCTGTCTGTCTGTCTGTCTGGGCGATTTAAGAAGACACCGCACAAACACGCACGTACACACACAGGGGCGGGGCGAGTCGGGAGGGAGGGCCGGCAGTGAATAGCTGGGCGCAGCGCCTGCAGGCGCTTGCACGCTATGGACGACTTTCTGGTGTTGCTTAGTGTGTGTGTGGGTGTGCGTGGTTTTGTCGATGCGTGCATCCGTCCGTGTTTGCCGATGGCCGACGTGCTTCAGCAGTGGACGAACGGGGAGGGGCCACATGTGTGCGTCAGTCAACACACGTGGATGGATGGATGGCCTGTCCGTCCCTAGGCTTGTATGCTGCACGACGGACAAAACCTCTCCGAGTGAGATGAATTCATGGCGTGTGTCGGTGCACCAATCCATTTCACCAGACACTAACGAGAGAGGCTCAAACCCCGCGGCCACCATTATCCATTTAGACGTCCCGTCCGTCTGTCACACGAGTAGAAACAACGACAGTACTGCAGTGAAGCCAGACAACAGCCAGCAACTATCGGCCAAGTGCATCAAGACTGGTTGTCTGGCATGTCGCATCTTTGTCGCATCTATGACACCCATACGCACCGCTGCGCTGTGAGCAATGCATTCTCCAGCAGATTGCTTTACCACGAGCGCCAATCGACGTACTCGTCACCTGTTGTTGCTGGCCCTCAGTCAGCACACCACAATGGCGCGTCTGATGTAGAGCAGCCCTGATGGATGCCCCATCTCGCAGCTCACACCTCATTTCTCTCTGTTTCTCAGCACCAATGGGGCTGATTTCATAGGACCGAATCGGCGCTCTTCCTCCTTTGCTGCCTCGCGCACTCGCCGCATCAGGACATCGTACCGATGCCGCATCCACTCCTTGCTGCTGACACCTTTGTTATTCGCGGTCCCCCGGATGTTGCGGTAGGCCGTCGACAGGTAGCTGTTCGCCAGCTCATTGATGCGGCTGCCGAAGGGGTCCTCGCCGATGATGTCAAGGTGAAGAGAGACAGCAGGTGGGCCGCCCGCGCCGTCCTCGTCGATGAGCGCCTCGATGCTCTCAATGACGCCATCGGGCAGTGCCGTCCTCGTCAGTGCGCGTGCGGGCAGGAGGGCGGTCTTGACGGCGATGCTGACCTGCACCGGCAGGTCATAGCGCAGATAATCACAGTAAGCGTCTCGCAGCCGCGCCCGCTTCCATTTTGCCAGCAGTTCCACCCCACTGAAGCGCCTCGATGAATGTTCGGATGCCGGCCAGACGCCCCTCAGCGACGCTCCGTTGCGCAGCAGCAGCCGAAGCGCAGACGGATCAGTGAAGTCTGCCCGAGCCGCATACGAGAGGGGGGTGCGATCGGTGGATGGCTCTGCAATACGGACGATGTAACGGCCGGCCTTGTGGATGAGGTACGCCATGAGGTGCAGCTGTGCAGGAAGGTGGTCAAGGGGGTGGGCACAGAAGCTGTGCAAGGCCGTGGGATGCTGGCAGTCTCTGTGAGGAAGCTCATACGGGGGAGTGTTGAACAAGATGGCGGCCCTCCCGCCCATTCGCACCAACCTCTTGGCCATCCTGAGCTTCTCGGCTGACGACACACTGCCGTCACGGGCGTCGGATGCCACGCGCCACAGCAGCGGGCCCGCAGCCTTGATGTCGACTTTGGGGTCATCCAGCAGCATGTGGGCGACGTCATAGCGGCCACGCTGAACGGCGAGCTCGACAGGGGGGCCGAAGAGGTACCCTTTGAAGTTGATGTCAGCGCCTCGGTCAAGAAGCAGCCGGATGATGTCCAGACTGTCAGCCGTCCGATGGTGCTCGATCGCCAGCTGCACGAGGCTGTAGTCCCTCCCGTGGAGGTCGTAGAAGCCTTCCGCAACCACACCGCTCGCAATGATCTTTGTGGCGTCGGCTCCTCCTTTCAACAACTGAGTGGCCCTCTCCAGAGTCAGTGTGCCGTTCCTGAGGCCGTCGACGAGCTCTCGAGTGGCGGCATCTTTCGTGCTTCGACTGGGATAGATATCCAGGAAACCCAGCGTGCTAATAGCTGGCGGCTCGAGGGGCCGACAGTGAGACAACAATCCTGAGAACGAACAGACACAGACGGAAGGCGAGCAGCCGCCGCGTGAACCGCACGGTATACTGTGTGTCGTCCGGCCAACGCACCTCCCATGTTATGTGCTGAGTGTGGACGAGACGATGCAGCCAGGCAGCACGGAAAGCAAGACCGTCCGTCCGTCAGGCGAGATGCACTGTTGACAACGGACGCAGCCTTCCGCCAACGACAACTCACACACGAGCGAGCTGCAATGAATGAATCACACACATCGACAGGCGGTGGGAAGCGTGTGACGAGATGCCATTCCCTTCGTCATAGTTGCCACCTATTAAATGGCTTCACGCGTCCGACTTGGCGTTCTTCTCCGCGACAAAACTGCGACAAAAGCTGCTACTGTAAGCTTGTCCAAGTGGGTGCAGTCCACAAAGGAACGCGGCCTGCATGGCCAGACACAGGAGGAAGTGTACGTGTGCGATATCTGCCTTGTGTGTGTTTGCGACGCTGCTGACCTGCGGATGACAGAGCAAAATGAGAGGGCGAGGCAAGCGGACAGTCACCGAACCACTCCGTAGCTGTCGCGATGAATCACTGAGCACGGCAATGATGAAAGGTAATGAATCAGATGTGTCGGTTGACGCCTCATCCTGCGGGCTGTGCGCTGTGGGGTGATAGGGTTTCAAAACCTAACACCCTTCTCCTGTGTCTGTCATCAGGGTTTGAAGGGTCTGTCCACATTCCGAGTAAGGGGCACCCACTGCGTGGGCACCCCGGGCCGCGAATTGGGCGGGGGTCGAAAGCAGCGTGCGAAGTGGCGGTGAATTATGCGTCACAGAGACGTGCACAGCACGAGTGTTGGCGAGAAGCACACCGACGCATGCAACAATAGCGAGAGCTTGAAAACATGCAGACAAGAACGGCGGGAGCTTGAAAAACATGC